TATATATATATATATATATAATGGCTGCCCCCGGTACGATATATATTTTATTGGCGTTTCGCTGCCTAGTTCAATGATGATTTATAATTGTTGTCCGCTCAGCTGTAATTATTATAATTACAGATTTTTCGTCCGGGCCCTCTCGGAACCGGGCCCGGGCCCACTTCGCTCCATCCCCCTTGATGCGGCTCCACCCCTTCGGTCCTTCGTCTCGAGCCTTCCTTTTCCCTTCGTGCGTTTCTGCCATTCTCGCCCTCTCCGTCTCGTAGCCAGTCGCTCTCTCGCTTCTTCTTTCTCCATCTCGCTTGCCCGTTGCTCTCTCTGTCTCTCTCTCTACCTCCGCGAACAGAGACCAGATCTACGGCTGCTCCGCCGTAGGAACGGGTTTTGGAAGTCGGACTCGCGCAAGTCGAGTCCTCGCGCTTCTGCGAGACCTCTGTCTCTGCTCTCGTCTATGCCCGAGTCGATCGATGCTCTCGCTGTCGTTTAGCTGTGCGTGCATCATCCGATTCAAATAGTATTTCATGTCATAACTGTTTTCATTAGACCGAGCACGATCTCGTCGCGAGTCGTGCTTCCTTTCAAACGGCAATTTTTATGCCGTCACCTCGGCCAACATGGCGCGCGATGGTCGAATCGCCAATGAGACATAGCGTATCCATTTCTGTGCAACGTCTATCTTAATATCGATCGGTGCAATATCCGGTGATCGCTACCGCATTTCGTTAGCTTTGCTTGTGGGACGTTCTGCCTACTCACGCGTTCGTTTCAACTCGACCTTAGCTCAATTGGAGCGCGAAATCTCGCGACAGCGCCTGATTCCGATTACACTTGACGAATCGTGCCAATGGAGCACGGCTAACGTGCGCATTAACATCGCCTAATGATCGCAATTGATGAAAAAGTCGGAGCAAAGACCGCCGCGCGACGTGATTGATGCCGACACTGGATGCTACCGATCGCGCCGCGAAGCTACTCGGTGAGGCGATGAAAGAAAAAAAAAAGAAAGGACAATTCCGGCTCTCTCGAAGTTGTTCTCTCGCAAAATTCGCGAGCTCATTTGCATCTAGGCCGGTGAGTCTCCAACCAATCCGAATGCTTTCTCTCTTCGAAATCTTTGATTTTGTTGTTACATTTTTAACAAGGCCCATTATGTTCGATTTTTTTTAATATTTTGCTACATTATTGTAACTAGTATCACACTCTAAAAATACAATATCATATTTGGCAGAAAATCTTCTGAATCTTAGAGAATTTTATAATATTTTTATATATATGTCGCCTCTCTCAAGAGGATTCTTCTAAAACTAAAAAGGGATATACTCTAAGTATAATATTCTTCAAGTTAGAGGTATTTTGTCGTGTTTGTCGCGCAAGTGAACATATTTTTCTTGATTTCAAAGAAAAAAATTGAAGTAACATCTAATAGGTGTCCAATTAATATTCCTATGTTCGGTAAAGGAGCAATACTCTCTCGGTAAAAGCTTTCGTTCTTAGAAGATGGAATCACAGGAAATAGCACCTTACAATCAGAATTCTTCTCTTTCTCTCTCTCTTTGAATACATTATACTATTATATCGAAATACTTCAAAGATTGTGTCAAATCTCATCTTGTCACGAAATTAGTTGATATTCCATCGCTCCCAACATTCTTACCTGCAGTCCTAAAAAAAGGGTTGAAAATAGAGGTATTGAAATACATACAAAGAGAAAAAGAAGAAAAACAAACAGCACAGATATCACTTTCGTCAGATTGGCGGGCGAGTTATTCACCTATGACGTAACTCACCTCTTCAACAAGGCAACCTCCGCGATT